CGATGATTACCAGCGATAGCGATGACGAGGACTGGAATGACAAGGATGGTAAAGCGCAGGAGAAGTTGGGTGTTACACCCGGTGGAAAGCGTTTGTTACGTGGACTCAGTGATGATGAAGATGATGCTGAGGATGTTTGTGTGGTTAGGCCAGAGCATGTGCCATGTGTAGCTGAGACAAGGATTGAAGATGAGGACGAGGACGAGGATGATGGAACCTGCATTCTTGAAGTGCTTCCGAAGATGAAGGACAAGAGGGGGAGTAGAGATTATGGTGAATTGGGTGAAGAGTATGTGGAGAGTGAGGATGATTCAGCAGAAGCCAGTAGTATGGAAGGATTTATAGATGATGAGGATTGTTCAGAAAATTATAATGAAGAGCCTGTTGAGCCAGAAGAGTCTGACGGTTATGTGAACTATAAAGATGTTATGGATGCGCTACGTCGCAAAAGGAATGCTAATGGTAAGGGCTGGGACTATGAGGCAGAGATGCTCTCAGCATTTGAGGAACAAGCTGAACTTTGCTTGAAAGCTGTATGCGCCCTCTACCGAAAGCAAACTGAGGAAGAACAGTCAGTTAAAGCCAGTATGGTGCATAATGGACAAGGATTTAACCAGATGGATGCTGTTAGGTATTCCCTCAGTATAATTAATTTATGTATATGCATTGCTAGTATAAACTGTAACTGATAGCTCTGCAATTATTTTACACAATTATGCATGCTGCATTTGTGATTTAGCTTTACCTCAACATAATTTGTGCCGCTTATTGCCTGCAAAATGTAGACTTCAGAAGGAGACTTGCCTTGTTTGTCATGATAACTTATTAACTTGCATCTACACCTTATAATTCCAAAAGTACAGTTTTAGGTAAGAAGAGATTCCCTGAGTGGACTAACAAACATCCCTCATGCCGGTTGATGTGTTGATCATGCCTTACACGGATTTTGATGTTCAGTTCTATTTGGAAAGTACCTCGGTTTTCCATGTGCATTGTAGGGCCTTGTCAGACTACATTGGTGTCAAAATTGAGCTACCTTGATTACTGTTAAGGATCCTCGTAATCACGTGTACAGGGCGCCCTGACTAGCGCTCATTGGTGGTGTATTTGTTCTGGTTCTCAAGTTTAATTTTTGGTCATTTGGTGTAATGGATTAATAAATATCTAACATAATTATATTTGTGACGCGATTGAATAATAATAATAGTACACATCAAGCATATGCAGTATTTACTTCTGTCTTCATTTTACAATGTATGTATCGCTCCAATCATAAGAGAAGATCAAGTGCTAGAATTCAATAAGAGTTTCTGTTTGTCTCATGATTCAAATTGTTTTCTTTGTTTAGGGGATCTCACATAGCAGAGTTTCTTCTGGATGGTGATGCTCTTGGATCGCCTAAGAAAACTGTCGATGATTTGGAAAAATACGACAAATATGCTCTCAAGTTCTGTCAGAGGATCGCTAAGCGTTACTCTAAACAGCTGTTTGCGATATATCAGAACAAGGATGACCCCTACTTTCCCTGACTGGTAATGCTTAACTCCAGATGCTGACCTTTGCGTGGCCCTTGTAATATTTTGCATACTCAAGCCTGTCCTAGTCATTTTTTGTGTATATACGTTCAGTTGTCGTTTCTTCTGATGCAGTTAGGGCATGCTAAAGTTAGTTTTGGGGGATGGTAACCATCCTATGTAAATCACTAGGATGCATGTTTTTAAGAAAAGTGGTGGTCTGATCTCTGATGCGGTTTCCGCTGTGGTACCAGTGCCTCTTTTGGAGATGATGCTCAACTGCCGATTCACACACAAAGCTGCATATTTATTTAGTAAAGGTAGTATACTTTTTAGTGCAAAACAGGAAACCGAAAGCAACAGCAACAACAATGACCCGAATTGAACTCGCAGGAGCATGGGTTAGTTTGCTAAATCCGTGTTCACGTTGATTAGCCTCGGTGATGGTCCAACGGCAAGATTTTTGGCATGCTCCATGGCTTGAGGCGAAAACCGGAAGACATTGTCCCTTCTAGTTTTGAAATCTCCAAAGCCTCCAATGGTAATGCGAAGAAGGCCTTCGTGGGTGATGCCTGGATTACGCAACATCAACACCTCAGGAGGTATTAATATGGATCATGTGTAAGAGTTCTCTCCCTTTGGAATATGCTTTAGCATGTGAACCTATACGAGGGGATGGCCGACACTATCACTTGGAAGTTCCAGCAACCACTTGGCATCCTCAGCTTACTATACATAGTTTGAAGGCATCACTTCCACGGTCATGAGACATATCATTTGGAATAACTTAGGAATGCAATTTCTCTGCGTGGTTAAACTATCAAAATAGAGTGTGGATGGTGATCGCCTACAAAGAAGAGGTTGGCCAGATTGTGGTCTTCGCAAGTTGTGCGGGTGGGAACTGGAGATCACCTCCCACATTTGCCGATTTTTCATTCATTTTTGGTCCATGGTTCGAGATTGGGTTGGCGTAATTAATTCTATGGTTGGCGGATTCATTTTATGTTAAGGGTGTGGCCTTCATTTATTCATCTTCATGTCGGCTGGAGTAGGGCCATGTCTAGCTAGCTATGCTTGTTTCTCGGGAGATATAGAATGAAAGAAGTGCAAGGATTTTTGGAATCACTCTTTAATGCCTCAAATCGTCATTGCCAAAATTAAAGGGTGGCCAAAAATTGGTGTGGGCCCGTGCCAAGCATTTGAGATATATGTAATGCCGCGAGAGTAAGGCTTTTGTTGCCTATGGGTGTATATTCATATTGATGCTATTTTGAATTTTGATACATGAGAATAATTACAGTCATATTGATTCACTAGATAAAAATTCATATAGGAAAAGTAAGATACGAGTGTAAATTTTATATCATATTTTCTTTTGCGAAAAAATCTTGTATATTACTCAAACGGTGTGGCTAGGTCTCAGTCGACCAAGTCTCAGTCAAGTGATATAATATATAAAAAGAAGAAGGAAAAAAATAAAAATATTTTTTTGTACGAATCTCCACGCAAGATTAAAGACATATAGCATCGACTGAGACATAACGAAGTCTCAGTCGACTGAGACTTAGCAAAACTGTTACTCAAAACTTAGGGATTACAATCAAGTTCACATTACTCCTTTAAAAGGATGCTGAAGTATGCGCCTCATGAGGCATCCTCGCTCGTGCTTGCCCTTCACGTCGTCTGACCGGCGTGCGCCATAGGTCGTTGCCTGCATGGCGGATTTACCCCTGTCTTATCGTGCTGGGGTGTTCTTCACGCCGACGATCTCAGGGTCCATGATGTGCGGGCCGTGGGTACGCTCGGGGCCACATTTTTTTGTAGTGACTGTCACCGTGGCTTATTCGGTTTATTGGCCTTCGCTGAGTCAGTTTTGATTTCAAATTTTCGATACACATTCTATATTTTTCGTATACATTAGAAATATAATTTATATACACATTTATATTTTCCTAATACATGAATAACAATTTTGAGAACTTATATTTTCTATGTATACTTTTTCGTACATGTTGTTCACTTTTGTTATACATCATTAATATTCTCAAAATTCAGATTTAACATGTTTTAAATACATGATCAACAATTTTCAAAGCATATTTTTTATGTCTATTGTTTCCAAACACATTGTACATTTTTAGCATACAACAGGACCCTTTTTTTATATACATGTTTGACATTTTTTAAATACATTACTTACATTTTTTCACATATATGTTTTGATGTCCTTTTTCATATACATTATATTTTTTACAATAAAAATAATTTTTATACATATTTAACATTTTTAAATGTGCGATTAATATTTTTCATTTTTTGTATAAAGTGACTTTTACAATAGATATATTTAGGCAAACCAACCCGTGGTTGAACGGTCAGGAGATAGTGATATCCCCAGCTCACCAGGGTTCAAATTCTAGACTTGACCCCGGTGCTCGTATTTTCTGGATTTATTTCAGCCCTTCTGGCGATGTGCATTCGGTGGGAGGAGGCATTTTCGTCGACTAAGAAAAGCGTCTATGTCGACTTCATCAATCTCAAGATGATGTGATGGCTCGGTTTCTCAGAGGTGCTCATAGGGGCAGGGTATGCGTTTTTTGCGTTCATTGAAGTGAGTGTATGTGTGTGTGTTCACGAGCGTATGCATGTATGCATGAGCACCTGTGTCTGTGTGTTAGATATATTCAGTATAATTTAAAATATAAGCAAAAGTAATAAAAAATGCAAAAATGTGAAAAAGATGGAAGAAAAGAAAGCGCTGAACGACTGTGGTCTGCGCTGGGCTGGCCCATTTCTGGCGGCTGTTACACGTGAGGCTGCGCTACATCTTGCTATAAGCGAGACATAGTCGCACCCTCCGGGACACGGGAGGGCTGCAGCCAGTTCTGTAGAAGCCCACCTGCTAACCCTAATTGCCAGCTCAGTTTTTTTTTCTCTAACAGAACAGGGCACAAGGTTGTGTCGAGCGACCGCACGAGCGCGCTGCCGCCGCCGCCGCCGCCTGTAGTCGCCTCCGCCGCCCATCGCCAGCAAGGTAACTTCTTAATCCCTGCTCTCCTCCAGTCATACCGCGCTGTTGCCTCCTGCATGTCGTGCTCCTCCGGTGCGCTCGCCGCTGGGGCGCTTGCTTGCTGCTGCGTGTGCTTGGTGACTGCGTGCGTGTGAGCTGGTTGCTGCTTGCTGCTGGGAGCTGGTGCTGGCTAAACATGTAAGGACCGCTACACAACATGTAGGGACATCAAAGGTGCAATCATACTAGTAGATCCTAGCGGCCGTGTTAAGCCTGCAGACTTTGGAATGGCTAAACATGCAAGGACTTGAAAAGAGGCTCCCAGCATCTAGCATCTGGTTGCAGACATTTTATAATTATTTTATATATACTCGCCGTATCGCTGTTTCTAGAAATTGCCGTATCTCGTATCGTGGTGTCCCCATCCCTGTATTCATGCTTCATAGGTTTCCCTGTTCCTGCAGAACCGCACAGCCATGGCCACCGCCGTCGCCACAGCCACCTCACTGTTGCACGACCAGCGAACCTTCACTTTGCAGCAGGGTGAGTTGGATGGGCGCTTTGCGGATGCCGAAGAGAAACCAGCAGCAGCATCCGAAGAGCCCGCAGAGGCGGAGGAGGGCGAGGATGAGGACGATGATGAGGATGAGGAGTATTGGTCCTACCATGACGTGGGCGAAGCCCTAGACTGGCTTGATGCCACGGAGGGCCCGGATGGCTCGACACGTATTTCCTCAACATTCTCGGCTGCCGGAAGCGCAGCTGCGGCGCGGAGGCCTAACGCGCACGGCGGCATGCTCGCGCGCACACTCCAGCCACTCTCCAACCGCACACAGAAGCTTGCCTCGCACGTCCGCGCCGCTCCTTTGGAGGTATGCAGTTTCAACTCCTCACCTTGGATCAGTATACTGATCAGCTTGTGCTGTAACATTTATTGGACGTATGCTATCAAGGATTAGGGTTCAATGGTTCACTATCTTTTGGTTAAAGTTGGTTACCTGAAATTACTAAAGAGAACAGTTGCACTTCATATTGGAGCTAGGCCTAGTAGTATCAGCTAGGGAAATTCTAAGTTTCCAACATCGCTCTGCAAACCACTAACTGAAATAATTCGGCTCAAGTTTTGATGTCTGTTTCTTTATTGATTTTTATGTAACACCAGTGCCTTAACATAAGGATATTGTTATCTGAACAAAACACCGGTCATGCTTTATTCATCTGGGTGTTATAGCTTTCTTGCTGATTATTTTATGTCGTGAGTTTTGAACAACTCAGGAGTGGGAAGGTAGAATGAACGTGGGGATGTCAAATTCTGTGACGACTGCAATCAGGGACAGCATAAGAGATACTGCAATTGGGAAAACAAGGAACACTGGGAAGGCAGATCGTGCTACAGTTGAACAGGTTTGTACATTTTTTGCTGCTTGGTGATGCTTATTTCATTCTCTGCTTGGAAGTTGAATCTGTTCACTTTCATATTCCTTCAGCAAATTAAGAATCAATCCTTTAGCCTTTCACCCTAATTTGCTTTCTGTCAAGTGGCTGTCTGTTTGAAAAGTTTCCCCCCTCATCAAGTATGCAGTAAATCAAAGTTTATTTACTTATAAAATGTTTGGTTTGATGTACATGAATAAGAATTCTTATTCAAGACTTGAGATCCGCTTCATTTTCTATTGCCTGTTGTGTAAGTTCGTGAAGCAGAAATTTGTTAGTTTGAAGTTCAAGCATTGCTCTTTTAGTGCCTACTGCATTTCTGTTTATGAGTTCTGCTGACTAATTAGGTACCGTTGCTTCAATGCTGATAAGCGAGGGGTGATCTGATCTATTTATTTTTCCTCTTATGCACTTTGTTTAATTAATATTTCTTGTCATTGTGGGCCCTCAAAAGAATGCTCTCTATTGCACATGTGATTTGATTACTTGATCTGATGATCGCATGATATTTTCAGTTCTTATAGGCAGTGCACACTTGCTCATTCGTCTATCCAGATAAAATTATGAATTTTGATTAACTGGGAAAGACAAAAACATGCTTGAGCTCTGTAGTCTATGTAATGAATGATGTTTTGGTGAAGTAATTTTTCTGAACATTCGATTTTTTTCTTTATATGCAGGCTATTGACCCAAGGACCCGCATGGTTTTGTTCAAAATGTTAATCCGTGGTGTTTTTAATAACATAAATGGTTGCATTTCTACCGGAAAAGAGGTAATCTTCAATTTGCAGTGCACATCGTAGCTACAAGGCATCCGCTACTTGCCAATTTCATTGCACCCGCGGATTTAAAAATAATATTATGAGAAAAGTATGTGGAGCATAGCTTACTTTAGCTGTTGACGGACAAACATAGAAAAGGCATCCCATACTACAAGTTGCTCTTTTTATTCATCGTTCTAGAAATCTATAATTAGAATAACATACTCAATATTAACTTTGGCATTTGATTTGGTTTCCTTTCCTTTGTAGGCAAATGTATATCATGCAACAAAGACAGATGGCAGTGAGTTAGCAATCAAAGTCTATAAAACTTCAGTGCTTGTTTTTAAGTAAGATATGGATTTTATACTTGCTTTGTCTTATAATAACTGGATACTCATAGCTACACCAGAATGCTGTTTATGGGCATTTTGTTGTATCCTTTCAACACTTCTAAATTGTTTTGATTCAGAAAGGTTCCCGTCTGAACAAAGTACACACTTCCTTGTTGCAGGGATAGAGATCGATATGTTCAAGGAGATTATCGTTTTAGACATGGTTACTGCAAGCATAATCCTCGGAAAATGGTAAAGACTTGGGCTGAAAAGGAAATGCGAAATCTTTTACGGTATGAAATATTCTCATTAAGCATGCTTTATTCATGATTTTCATTCCAGTAAATTGGCAAGCTGTTTCTCAATGGGATTCTGTTGTTGAATTGGGTTTAATTTTTTGGGGAAAAAGAGGATGCATTTGGAGGCATAATCTGTTGCTATCCTATATCTGTTCTGTCTCTCTCTGAATTAAATTCCCGCCCTATATAATTGTTATCTTCTTCTGCAATACTTTGCAAAATGCTTTCAGTTACTGAAATAGAAAGATTTGCACTTCTCTCCCTTGTTCAGAGTTAGAGCAGAAGGAATCCGATGCCCGAAGCCGTTGCTCTTGAGGCTTCATGTTTTGGTGATGGAATTTATAGGTAAAACTTGTGGTGACACTTGCTTATTCAATGCCTATCAACATTTTCCTATAGAAATGGTATCATATCATGACCTAATAATTGTTCAAAACATACACCTTGTAGCAGAACATCCCACAGAACAGTACTTTCATATGTATTATCATTTCGTCTAATAAATTGAGTTGGCTCTCCTTCAGGAAAAGGAGGTTGGGCTGCTCCTCGACTTAAGGATGCTGCTTTGTCGGATGACAAATTGCGTGAAACTTATTTTGAGGTACATGATGTATGCAAAGATTAAGTACCAGTTGAAATGTCAGCTGAATATGGTCCTTACCTGTTGAAGAATGAATAAGGAACCACATAGTACCCAAACATTAGATTCTGGGTACTCTTATAGTACCATTTTCCGATATACTTACTGCAGCTTATTTTCAGATTGTTACAATAATGCGGACACTTTACCAAAAGTGCAAGCTTGTCCATGGTGATTTGAGTGAATACAACATTCTTTATTTTGAGGTAGTTGAGCACTTTTGATTAAGCCTTCTTAACCTCTTTCATTTCCCTGTCAACCAGGTTCCTCATTCTTATTTGCTTGTTGTGCAGGGACACTTGTACATCATCGATGTTTCACAGTCTGTCGACCTTGACCATCCTTCAGCTTTGGATTTCCTGAAGGAAGATTGCTTGCATGTTAATGTGAGTAAAATTAAATTAAAATTGATCAGACATGGATAACTCGTGGTATTTAATACGTGTGCAATGCTGTTTTCAGGATTTCTTTGAAAAACGTGGTGTTGCTGTCATGACAGTAACAGAGCTATTTAATTTCGTTGTGGATCAAAATATCGCTGATGAAGATGTTGATGATTACTTGGAGAAGGCATGTCCTTATTTTACTTTCAGTAGTTACATGACTTTGTGATCATTGATTTGACAAAAGATCCAATGGGTTAACAATATTGTGGTTACAACAGGTTCAGCAAAAGATTTAGGAAAATGGAGATAGAGCTGCAGATGATGATGAAATTGCTCCGACAGTCTTGGTGCAGGTAGGACTATGATTATTGTCATTACTATGCATTTGTGCAGCTTTGCCAAAAATATCGTCTACAACTACGAAGCACCGATATGGCAACACCAATACGGCGATACGGGATACGGCAATTTCTAGAAACAGCAATACGGCGAGTATATATAAATAATTAATAAAATGATAATAAAGACAAAACATAATAGAATGAGTGAGGTGAGATAAAAATACTGCCCCATTGGTAATTGTTTGCCTCCATGCCTCTTTCAAGTCCTGAATGATCATCCATGTCCTCATGGTGTATGCAAAATAGAAAATACATCATATGATAGTATCAGACTTTGTCAATTTGAGATGCACAAGCATGAAAAGTTGAAACAGTAAACAAGCTGGCTTGTAGCTTCCTTGTTCCAAACTTTCAAGTTCCAACAGCAACAAGTCCCAAATCTGAATTGTGAATTCTTAATGGCCATAGACAAACAATGCAAAAGTTCACCAAGATAACATGATAATATGAAGATACAAGGCTGAGGTGGCCATAGATCAAACACCCCGCAGATGCCATGTCGTATTTCCTCCACGACCTGATGACTCTGCTGCTAAGTGTTGTAGCATACTTCCATAAAGGATATTTCTGGTTGACAACACCATGCCCAGCCTCTTCACCTTGAACATCGATGTTGTTGCTCGCAGTACCACCAAGTGAGGATTGGCTTCCTGCCATGCCACTCCTCACAGATGCCATGTTGTATTTTCTTCCCTAAGCACTAGGCAGTAGCAGCAACATCAGCAAAGCAATTGCATGCAGCCAGGCAGTAACATCAACAAGCTGTAGGCAGTAGCAGCAAAGCAATAGCAAACACCAAGCAGCCAAGCAATAGCAAGCACCTAGCAACCAAGCAGTAAGCAGCAACATCAGCAAGCTCTAGGCAGTAGCAGCTAGCCAGCAATGCAGCAACATCAGCAAGCAACTACAATCTACAAGCAGCCAGCAAAGCATAGCCCGATTCGTAACAAGCAGTAGCAACCACTAATGATTGAGGACAAACAGATGAATGGATAGATAAACTAGAGAGGAGCAGAATTCGCCGGAGCTACTTGCTGGCGAGTGGCGACTGGACACGGCGACGGAGAAACACTATTCAGTCGAGGCAGCGGCTTGGTGAGTCGACAGGGCAGTGAGCCGATTCTAGGTGGCAAGCGACTCCAGTCTGCAGTGGTGGCAAGGCGTCGTGCGCGTCTCCCCTGCCGTGCGAACAGAGTGAAAGAGAGAGGGGGGGGGGGCAGTTGTTAGGGTTAGTACTGGGCTGCCCGTATCCCCCTGTGTGTGGACAGTGAACAGCCTGTATCGGCGTTTTTCCCTTTTTTTTAAAGAAACCGAAAAATATGATACTCCAGCGATACGTGTATCGCGCCGTATCAGCCGTATCAGCGCCGTTCCGGACGGGGATACACCTGTTCTGAACGTATCGGTGCTTCAGAGGTACAACTGTGAGCATCTTCACTTCTTCAGTGAGGGAGAGACCCTAATGTCTGAGGCATATGTTTATTTATTGTATATTCTGTTACTTGTCAATCATCACTATTTTATACTCCCTCCGTCAGGAAATACTTGTCCTCGAAATGGATAAAATACCATTTCGAGGACAAGTATTTCCGGACGGAGGGAGTACTATGTTTTGATTCAAGGTCCACAACTTGTTTGGGACTAAGGCTTTGTTGTTGTTGTTGTTGTTGTCGTTGTTGTTGTTGTTGTTGAATGTTTTATCTCATGTACATAATTTATCATATTGATTTCAGTTAGTCTTATCTCCCATATCTCTTGCTCGAGTTTGTACCTTGTGCTGCGTGTTATTCAGTTCACTTGCTAATAATATTATCTGCTTTGCTCTTTTTGATAGACGTTGGATTATGTGAAGCAATGTGAGGCAGATATTGTCAGCATGTCAATGATGCAACGCCCATCTGTTGGTTATGAGCCAACAGCAGATAAGCTTTATGACCAGCCACTGTTAGGATTTGTGCGGACTAAAAATGAGCATAGTGAAAACCAGGAAGCACGACCGGCACAAAATACACCGGAAGAACCCTTGGACCTGCAAACCAAGTGCTGCTCCTTGGAGAACAAGGAGGAAGATGAATCGGGTGACAGTGAATCTTGCTCCAGTTCCGACGAAGATGGTTCATGGCACGAGTCCACAAAGATGGGGCCCGAGGAAAGGAAGGCTGCTCGCAAGGAAAACAAAAAAAAAGTGAAGGAAGAGAAGAGGGAAACCCGCAAGACGAAGATCCCCAAGGCTGATAAGAAGAAGAGGAAGAAAATGGCGAAAGCTAAGTGCAAGCGGTAGTGGATCACCGGTGGCAATCCACATGGTTGACACCATCAATTTTGTTATACTAGTCTAGTTCCACTCAGTCTTGTGAGCGATGTGTTGGATGTGCTTTCTTTTTGTTGTAGTCCTAAATGTATTGCTTAAAAGCAAATGCCGTAGAAGATCAACTCTTGCTGCAACATTATAAGATATTGTGAGTTGTGTATGCTTAATGCGCCTGAATGATATATCTTGTTTTCTTCTGTTCTGCCGGTGATTTCTAATGTAAACTATGGATGAGAACGTCAATTCTTTATGGGTCTACAAAATTGGCGATAAGTTGTTCTCGAGCTCAACCTCAAATCGCACAGCAAATGCAGTACATATTGAATGTATGATGTGAAGATAAAGAAAGGAGATGGATGCCTATACGGTGTGATACAACTTACATTATGTCCTTAGAGGCAGTGTGTACTGCATTTGGACCTCTCAAATCGCCTCAAACGCCCGGCTGACCGGCACCCCTCATATCCAGCCTAAATATGGGACGGTCTGGACGCGTCCGCCACGTCGACTTGGCCCTACTTGGCCCACGCCTACCTCACAAATATTGCCGTCCGGAAAACCCTAGACCGGTGACCGAAGCAGCGTTCCGCATCGCACTGAGGCGTTCCGTTGTCCTCCGCATCGCACTGAGGTCGCCCTCCGCATCGCACTGAGGCGTTCCGTTGTCGACCAAGGCAGATCCCGCAGCGGCGGATCCACTTCGTCCGTGCCCGGCGCCCGTCGAAGCAGCGGCAGTGACGTCGCCGGCCCTTCCCGCCCGCCGCGCAACTCCGGCCACTCCGCTCCACTCCTTCAGGTACGCCGCCCATCACCAGCCCCATCTGCTCTGGAGGTGGTGCCCGGCCACCGCTGGGTCCTCCTGCCCGCGGCGGGGCCAACGCACACCCGGACGCCCGAGTCGGAGGCACGAGCAGCCCAGCGCCGAGCGGCAGCGGGAGAGGGAGAGGACAACAGCGTTCGAGTCGATGTCCGCGCGCCGGTCGATCCTAAGGCAGCACTCCTCGCTTATGTGCTCCGCCGCTCGTTCACGTCGGCGGAGACGGATGCGCGGAGCCTTCGCCGCAAGAATGCCAAGCCGCTCCGACTCGCCATCGAGTTGTCGGAGCGCGAGGCAACAAAGGAGGCGGCAACGAAGGCGAAGGCGGCCCGCCATGCCAAGGAGCAGGACCGCCTGCTCCACAGGCTGTCGGGCATGAGGTGCAGCTCTGACTCGGATATGACGGATGGCTCCACCTCCAGCTTCGACGATAACGCGCCTCCGCACGCCGATGCCTGCACGGAGGAGGGGCACAACCGCGTCGACGGCCGGAAGGGGAAGGGACCGGGGAGGAAATGGTGATTTCCTCCACCCTTCCTCGTTTTGTTTATATTTTATCTATGTTTGTAGTATGGATTTGCATTGTTCGCTGTTAAACTCCGATGAATCATGTTTCTTTTGTTCGGCTAATCCGATGAACTGCGCTATGATTATGTGTTTTATGTAGCGTTGCATGGATTGCATGGTTTTGAGGTTCAAGATGTGAGGGACGCGAGTGTGGAAGATGAAATACAAGGCGTGCCCGATTAGTGCCCGCGGACGGCATTTGAGGAGTCATATTTGCTCAATGTGGCTGTAGATGCTCTAAGGGTTTAGAGGCAGGTATAGAGGCAGGAGAATGATACATTGTGGATGCTCAGCTCGCATCAAATAGAAGAGCATTGCATTTGAAATTTCAATTCCATATATCTGATTCTAATATTTTTCCAGAGCACCCCTGACATAACTCTATGTATGTCTCTTGTGGTGACCACATGTTTACTCTTAGCGGATATTTAGAAGAAAAAAAAGAAACACATGTTCTGGTACTACGAGCTGAAAAATCCATGGGTTGCCTTCTTTGATTCGAAGGAAAGCAAATGAACCCTCCCAAAACCACGAGGCCCTCCCTCGTGTCCTGGCTCTCCTCTATCGAATCCGATACGTATGGAACCACAAACCATCCTCTCGCTCCGCGCGTTGCCACCGCCCTCGCCATGTCGTTCCACCACCAAGGCCAGCGTCACCATGGTTCTCGCCATGACTCGAACCCGACCCCTCCCGGCTGCACACCTGATGCGGAGCATCCTACGGACATCACCATGTCAAGAGTTTTTTTGACAAGTGACACATGCGACCTCTACTTCTCATACATAAAGGTGAATCTTCTCCTTTATACGTGTTCACTTGACCCCTCTGAGGATGGTATACTACTTAACACTCCACTCATGTGCATGCATAGGTATTGTCGGAATGCCATGGACGAGGAGGAGTGCGAGCACAAGTGTACAACTACACCATCCGTGAGAGAAGCATGGAAGAGGAGGAAGAAGACCTGGAACGAGCGGTACTACCGCCCGATGTCCAGTACTATCGCCTGCTTGGGCGCAGAATCGGGCCTGAGGCCCATGTATTCCTTTCCCACTTACCCCTTCATGGCTTAGACTATAAATAGACCACCTCCACCTCCTTTCTAGGGTTAGCAAATATGATAGCTCATTCTTAGGTGAGCTTTGCTCCTACCTCCTCCTCTTGAGAGAGAGAGACCACTCCCATGGAGTTCAAGACCTCCATGTGAGAAGATCCTGCGGGATATCGTCAAGACCCCCTTGCGGGAAGATCCGTTTAGGATACCATCAAGACCTCCTCTTGAAGATGAACTCTACCTTGTATCTTTCTCTTTGTTGATCATGTACCTTGTGGATCTTGTGTGTTTGATTGTCTAGTGGATGTGTGATTGGACTTGTTCTTGAGTGTTTCCCCTTGTGATTTCTCCCCGTTCTTCCCTGTGTTCTTCAAGGGATCCCACACCAATCGTGAAAGATCGGCCACCTAGGGTTCCACCCTACATCATCTCGGTATCATGAGCCACGTTTATCACGTATTTGGAGTCCCTCCCATCATTTTCTAGTCTTCTTTTGCTTGATTCGAAATCCCCACCAAAAATAGCCCCCAAACTTTTTTGTGATTTGTTGGTTTGATAATGTTTTGTTGATTTTGATCCATGGATTTGCTTGGTTTCGAGTGGATCTAGCATCTCCCCAAGTTTCCCCACCTTCCATCCACGAAATTTGTCAAATTTTGCCACCGGAATCATCCATTTCCGCCCCAAAATCGCGCCCCGATTCGATCTGCGAAGAATCCCGACATGAGCGGTACTACCGCCCGCCAAGCGGTACTACCGCCCGCCAAGCGATACTACCGCCTATAAGCGGTACTACCGTCCTCCCGAGCGGTACTTCCGCCCAGCCCAATTTCAGCCTAAGGCTGCCGAAAAATCCCGACACGAGCGGTACTACCGCCCATCCTAGCGGTACTTCCGCCCCTCCCAGTTTCAGCGTTCCGAGTTTCACCGTTTTGCCCATAACTTCCACATCCGGAGTCCAAATTTCCCTTCACGTCCTCCACGCGGCTGCCGCATCCATGGAAGATCGCCGCGTGCGCCTGGCTCGAGTCCTTCACCGACGACCGCCCTCCCACCGAGCCTGAGGTTGACACCTACATCGAATTAATGGAAATGAACTACTTTTCATGTTGCACTTCACGGTATTAGTGGCTAAAGCTAACGGAAATGTCATGGAGGGAAAAAAGTAAAAAAAAAGAAAGATTTTTTAAGCTAAAAAGGGAAGCAGATTTTAAAGTGACCAAATAAATTTTAATATTGCACTTCACGGTGTAGTGGCTAAAACTAACGAAAATGTCACTGAGGGTACAAGTCAAAAGGGAAGAATTTTTTAGGGCTAAAAATGGAAAAAAAGTTTAAGGAAGCCCAAATAAGGTATTCTCTCATCGAAGAATGCACAAACTTGTGGAAAGCGGTTGTTCTGATCCTGAACTCATATGAGCTCAGGTGAAGAGTAAAATCAAAAAATATTAAGAAAAAAATCTTTTTTTTTGGGAAACGTTGACAAATGTTTTGTTAGCTCGCCAAATTTCATCACCAGATGACATTCATGCAAAATGTGGCAAAAAAAACCGCTGCTCCAAATTGTTACTTTCAAACGCATTTGGAGCATTGATTTTTTGCCACATTTTTCATGACTGTCATTTCATGATGAATTTTGCAAACTATCAAAACATTTGTCAATGTTTAACAAAAAAAAATCATTTTTTTTTCATTCTTTTGTTCAGGAGAACAAGCGTGTGAAGCAAAGCCTAGAACTAGAAGCGCCCATTTCACCGCACGTGTCGCCAGCCCAGAAGCGCAAACGGCAAAGCCGCCTCTCCTTCCCCTTCTTCCGCACACAATCGTGGCACAGTCCTCCTGTCTGACGGTCGACCACCAGTGCGAGCATTCCGACGCTAGGGTTCTGCCACGGTGCCGCCGCATCGTCGCCCGCGACCGCCGCCGCAGCTAGAGATGGACGCCGCGGAGGTCGCGGCGAAGGTATGCGCCCTCGAGGCCGAGCTCGCCGCCACTTTCCCCCGCATTGCCGACCTGGAGGCCCGGGTCTCGCTCCTCGAAGCCGAGAACGCGCGCTGGAGGAAGGCCATGCCCAGTGGGGAGGTCTCCGGTCGATTGGTGGAGGGTTTGGGCGGCCCCAAGCGAAAAACAGTCCAGGCGGTGGGAGTACCCGGCCTGGCGTATGCTTCTTTTAACGAGGTCGGTGACGGCGAGGAAGAGGGGGTCGCCGCTGATGCCGGCAACGGGAGGAGCGGCGAGGAGGATGGCGTTCCCGCGGTGCCGACCCCTAGGAAGCGTGCATTGCTTAGAATAATTGACAGTGATGAGGAGGATGACGAGACAGAAGGGCGCCCTGCACCCACCATAAGGCGCTTGACTCGCTTAGCGGAAAAACAGTCGAAGAAAGCACGAGTCGAACCCAATGATCATGAAGAGAGCGAGGATGGTTCGGGACAAGATGGTGATATGGGTGAATCTAAAAATGATGCAGATTGTTCAGAAGATTCTGACAGCGAGGTATTCTTTCACGATATTGTAGCTTACATTGTTCACAAAAGGAAGGTTAAGGATTGTAAGCATCTGTTAGAGTTCTTCAGTCCATGTCATGTTGTAGCAGTCCTCTGTTATGTGTCTGCTCTGTTTAATTCAGCACAGAACTTTCTCCTTTTGGATATATGCTAGTGTCAAAAACGCTCTTATATTATGGGAGGAGGGAATAGATTTGTTCTTTTTGCAGTGTTGCACACTATGTATCCTCTAGTGGATTCATGCCCATTTATTGTTTTCCTAGTTTTTGTTTACCTCTGATTTTGTTTCCTTTTCTGTTAGCAGATGGATTACACCTTGCTGAAGGATGTGACCCTGGCTTCAAACAACCAGGTGAGGATTCGAGTCAGAATAACGCGCATTTCGCATTACATGGGCAAGTATCAACCAAGAGGAATTCCGCAGGTTGATTTTGTGATGCTCGATGAGCAGGTGAGATACTTGTCGTTCTGTAACGTCTTGTTCATTTACCTTCACCATGTAAGGTCACCGTGCTGGTTCAATGTTTATGAAATAGGGGGGTATGATGGACGGTCAAGTACCTGCGTGGCTTGCACAGCTCTTTTTGCAACGCATCAAGGAGGATGATGTGTATTACATACACCACTTTAAGGTTGTCCACCCTAGTCTGCCCTATAGGGCTGTTGATCATCCTTGCATGGCAATGTTCACGAGGGACACAGAGATAAGCAAGGATGAACACGTGTCTGATAGTTTTCCGGTGTATGCATACAAGATATCGCCTTATGAAGTCCTCCGATCACGTGAAAACAACACAGCTCTAATGTCTGGTATATAATCTGTATTTGTGACTGAATCATTCTGCCTCCATAATTATGTGTACAGCAGCTGCTCTTTTCGCTGTCTAATCTAGGATTGCTTTTGCCTTTTGGTGCCTGATGCAGATGCCATTGGTCTTATGCTGGAAGTTTCAAATGTGAAAGCTGTTATTGTCAACGGTGCACCTCGGGCAGTCCGTAACGTGTACATAAGCGATGGCAGGTATGTTGATAGAGCTTCATTGTTGGTCACTTTTAGTTGCTTCATGACAGTCTTCGGTGCTGTTCTACATGCTTGTGCATTTTCTGATTATGTTTTTGAAGAGAGACGGCCGCTGTTGCTTTGTGGGAGGCACAGGCAAATCAATTCCCAGCCGAGATTCTGCAGCAGCAGATGCAGCAAGGACCAGTTGTCATTCTCTTTGTTGCCGTGACTGTCAAGCTGCGTGAAGGTGATTTTTTTTTCGGCAGCTCTATTTTGTCTTTGGTCTCCTTTGGTAATTGCAGTCTACGTGTTTTAGTAACATCAGATATCATTTGCCTAATTTTTCATCACATCAGGCCAACTGTGTTTGCAAGGAAGCAAAGTCTGTAGGTGGTATCCCAATGCTCCTATTCCAGAAGTTTTAGCTTTGCAGAACAGGTGGATTTCATTTTATTTTGTAGTTCTGTGTCATGTAGGAATATATAGATCTTATGGTACAATCTCTGTTTCCCTGATATCATCTTTATTTTGCTTTGGTATCTGTTAGTTCTGCTGGAGTTTCACATGAGGCCAGATTGGTTGACACATCACCAACACAGACCCAGACGGTACGTGTCAGTGTAATGCTATATAGGAATACATGTTATGATTTTTACTTGTTCAAAATATCGGCCAATAAATCAGTTAACTGGCCGATTAATCCCTGCTCAGTGGATCACCGAGTAGCCAATTTATCGGCCGATTAACTGATCGATTCACCTATTAATGCCTTACTCGCCAGCTGGCCGAGCAGTTGCCCATTAACGATTTCCTGAACATTGCTTTTGAATAATGTTGGAGACCTCCATGGTTTTTACTGCTTATCTTCCCTATATATTTAGGTCTAGTGAGAGTGTAAGTGGGAATGATGGTGCTTTGGGCGAAATAAAAGGGTATTCTACATCCACTACAAGACGCTTGGCTCAGTTAGTTAAACGTCAGTTCAAAGAGAGTACACACAGATTGTTGAGGAAACTCTACGTAGATGTTATGGGTTTTGCATAGGCCGTAAAAGGACTGCTAAGAGTATGGGTTGTGTGTGTAAGGTGGATATGCTATCAACATTCGCTGAACACCCTGGACTTTGCCTGAAAGTTGTTTGTGCCCACTATGGAAAGCAAACAAAGGAAGAACAGCCAGAAAAGCCATTTTATGCATAACAAGCAAGTATAACGTATTTAGCCAGATACATGCTGGCCCTGGACTTGAACCAACATTTATGCATATAGCTGTATCTCCATTTAAATGCCACATGTTCTATTTAGTTTGTCTTTGACTTCATTTTTATATAATTCTCCAACTTTGTGCCACATCTGTAAAAATTAATGTTTGAGAGCGAACTTGAAAAAATTGTCTACCTGGGTCCATTTGCACATATATATTTGGAGCCGTTTTCACCACTACGACAAGGTATAATTCATTTTAAACAAATCATGCATGAAGACCACGCTATGGCAATTAACAACTTTCCTTGCCGAATTTGACATGATCACATGAAAATACGACAATATGCACGCTTTATGCAATTTGTCCTTGTTTGTAGAAAGAATTTCCATCTAGACACTTATTTATTACATAATTTTTTCTTTAGTTAAGAAGAGGATTTTCGGTGTGTGGATTAATATCTTCTGTTGACCATGCATTATACTGATTTTGGCATTTAATTCTATATGTGGAAGTGTGAAGTGCTTGTCTTTTCCATGTAAACTGTAGGGCTTCTAAGACTACACCGAAGTAGGTTGAACAGCCAACACGACACACTATGCTTAGTTAAAATTGAGCTACACTGATGACTATGCATCCTCATAATCACGTTTTTGTTTGAGGTCTTAACTAGTGCTCATGCCCTTACAAGATACGAGAGTAAGTATACAGAGCACCGTGTTCATAAGATAAGGGTGTATTTATTGTCATGCCAAGGCTTAGCTTTGGGCCTACCTGTTTACAGCTTAATAAACATAGAATGTAATTTTGTTTGTGTCTATTGAATAGGTACTGCAGAACACAATCATATGTGATGTTTTCTTATCTGATCATTTCACTTTTATTATGTCAGTTTAGTCGTAGGGAAGTGATCAAGAACTAGCATTGAACTGGGGGTTTCAGTTTGTCTCATGCAGCAATTTGTTTTCTTGTTTAGGGTTAGTGCATGGCAGGGCTTTCTTCTGGATGATGATGCTTTTGGACCGCTTAAGAAGACTATTCATGATATGGAGACGCGCTCCCCGTGGTTGTTTGGGATATACAGTAGTATGAGAACAAGGAGGACCCCTACTTTCCAAGTTTCCATGGCTCGTGGTGTTAGTTATATTTTGACCTTTCTGTGACCCTTTGTACCTCCCCAATCAGTCAGTCTTTTGTAGATATACGGGCTTTGTTTTGTGTCTTCTCGAGTAGCCCGTAGTTAGGGGAATGCAGCCATCCTATGTTCATATTACGTACTCCCTCCGTTCCGATTTACTCGTCGTGGTTTTAGTTCAATACCTAGGATGCTCCCTGTAAATCTGTAATATCCACCTCGTAGTACTACATCTATCCTCGAGATGCTTTTGTCCACTTGTTGTGTGTTGTTCGACGTCTTTGTTCATGGGGTCAGAATGCCATGCCTTCTCTCCTGCCAATTGGAGGTGTCGGTCAGTCCTGTCTAATTCCTCTAATGAATGGAAGGTTGGCGCAAGGCAGAAATTCAAAGTCTATGTCGGGGTGTCTGGTCTACTTGACCACAAATTCGCTGCCGTTTGATGTCAGTTTCAAGTTTATGGAGAAGGTGATGATTTATGTCCAGAAAAGGCGAAAAGTTGCTGCGTATGCTGCTGAGCTGCCGACAATACGAGTCCGCAGAGCCTTCTGATTAACGCATATAACTGCATGTTTATTTTGTCAGACGCTGATATAGTGATGCTAGCTCGTCACCCGAGTTGACAAACAAGTTTATTTGTCAGACGTATCAAGATGATAAACTTGACAGCCTCATCCAATTCACCAATGACTGATCGAATGCTGGTTTAGTACGATTAGCAGCAACAGCAGCAAACCATATCACTGTAGAGTCGTTTCTCCGATTCTTCTCTCAACCAAACACTGAACAATCCAGCAACAATAACGGCCGACAGGCCGCACGCATCCATCCCTCTCCAGCATCAGAAAGGAGCTCTATTCCTCGCATTCCTGACAGGAAAGTAGCAGCAGCGGCAACAAAGACCCAAGCAAAAAGCTCGCACCAAATCAGCCACATATCTCGAGCGCATGGGCACCCTACACGACCAGCAATTAAGCTTGAGACGGTGAGAGCATATGGAGCGGTCAGTTCGGTCTCTGTATGTGGCACTGGCACGGACGGGTACAACAACCCCACCGGTGCCACTGTCAAGTGAGACCTTCGGAGCACGTGGGAGCTGCGGCAATGGCGAGCTCAAGATTGATCAGTTTTCGATCTGGTTTGCTGTTGCTCTCGGCTCCGATAGAAGTCAACTGGGCGTATCAATGGCGGTGTGGGCTTCTTCGTGCGCATTGACACGTTGAAAGCTGGAGATTTGAGTGTGGTGGTTGTGACCACTTGTTCCTACTTAACAAACTGATCATGACCACTCTGATCCTCCGGGAATCCGTTTCCTTACCACCTTATAATTGTTACGAAATAAAGGTTCTTGTCTTGTGCGGAACGGTGCATAATTTTTTAAAATCCGGTACCAACAGGTATAATCCCCTGGAACCACGTTTCTTTCAAGCCTTTCAACCAATCAATACGACCTTGTAGGGCAGTTTTTGCTAAAACTTGAGCAGTTTCTTGAAAACTTGCTTCGGATATAAAACTTGGGGTTGTTGGAATAATTATGCATCTCTGGAATGCCATTAGCAGGAACAGATTGCATCTAGATCACCTAAAACATGAACAGAGAAGGGTTTAGGGGATCATTACGTGTCACGGCAGTGGACATGATCGCCTGCTTGGTGCAGGCTTGATGCAGAGGTGATGTAGTCGAGGTAGAAGTCCTCCTCAACGTCCTGATGCCCTCAGGACGCCACCGGCACTGCCCGGGGACGGGAGCGGCGGCTGGAGTAGGTCTTCCCGTCGCTGCAGCGCTCCCCCTGATCGGATGGGGTGAGAGAATATCGGGAGGGGAGTGAAACCGTACGAGAATTGTGATCACGCAGGCTGCCAACCCTCTCTCGTTCCCTTTTATGTAGCGCTGGCGACAGGGGACCTAAACCATCAGTTGGTTTGGGTGCCCCCGATCAGGGCGCCTTAGTTGGGATAAAAACCTCACGTACGTTGGTGCGTGGGGCCTTTTCATTAACGTTATCTTTCTCTTTTTTTTCTGTTAAACTAATAGATCTAACTGGCCTGTTTAAGCCGTCAGATCAAAACCAACATTCTCCCCCTTGATCGTTAGGCTTAACTTCATTCGCCCATTCTACATAGGAATGATGTACCAAAGTGAGGTGTTACAACAGCTTGAAACGCCACAGTATAGTACACCCGCCTATTTCGAAATGGAAAACATTTTGCTAATTGGGGAGTGGTTTATTTTAATGGTCCTCTTATTCCAGAATCATCAGGCCTCCAGTAGTCCCATGCCGGCAACATGCTCACGAAAAATACTGGGTGGTAAGCCTTTTGTTAGCGGATCCGCAATCATATGCTTCGTTCTTATATGTTTAACATCAACTGTTTGATCCTGAATTCTATCTTTCACAACACGATACTTTATGTCAATGTGTCTGGCAGCATTACTTGACCTGTTGTTACTCGTATAGAAAACTGCTGGTTCATTATCGCAGTACAATAAAATTGGTTTAGATATGCTGTCAACCACTTTAAGTCCGGGTATAAAATTCTTTAGCCATACAGCCTGCCCGGTGGCCTCATAACATGCTACAAATTCTGCCTGCATCGTAGATCCAGCAGTTAACGTTTGTTTGGAGCTTTTCCACGATATAGCTCCTCCCGCGAGTGTGAATATATAACCTGGCGTGGATCTCATACTATCCACGCACCCGGCAAAATCAGAGTCTGAATAACCAACAATTTCGAGGTTATCAGTTTTTTTATATGTAAGCATGAAATCCTTAGTTCCTTGCATATAACGCAAGACTTTCTTTGCGGCCTTCCAGTGGTCCGGTCCTGGATTGGATTGGTATCTGCCAAGCACCCCGGTTACAAAACATAAGTCTGGGCGTGTACATACTTGAGCATACATGATGCTTCCAACAGCTGAAGCATAAGGAACCGACTTCATCTGATCAGTTTCGCATTGGTTCCTCGGACATTGAAATGTCCCAAACTTATCGCCCTTAACTATAGGAGCAGGTGAGGGTGAGCACTTATACATATTGAATTTTTTTCAGTACTCTCTCAAAGTATGCCTTTTGAGATAGTCCTAACGTTCCTCTGGACCTATCTCGATGAATCTCGATGCCGAGGACATACGAGGCTTCACCAAGATCTTTCATATAAAAACTGGATGACAGAAAATTCTTGGTCTCATGTAGCATATCCTTATCGCTACATGCCAATAATATGTCATCAACGTATAGGACTAAAAATGTGAACCTACTGCCTTTAAACTTAACGTATATGCAGTTGTCCACAACATTTTCGGTGAAACCAAAAGTTTTGATAATTTTATCAAACTTGAGGTACCACTCTCTTGAAGCTTGCTTCAAGCCATAAATTGATTTCTTTAGACGACATGCTAAATGTTCCTTTCCTTCCACAACAAAGCCTTCTGGCTGAGCCATGTAAACATCTTCTTTTAAGTCACCATTTAGAAATGCCGTTTTAACATCCATTTGGTGTAGTTCTAGGTCGTAATGAGCTACTAATGCCATTATGATTCTGAAAGAATCCTTGGTTGACACAGGGGAGAAGGTTTGCTTATAATCAATGCCTTCTCTCTGTGTATACCCTTTTGCCACTAGCCTTGCCTTGAACCGTTCGACATTCCCTTTGGAATCATACTTGGTTTTGTAGACCCTCTTGCAGCCTACTTTCTTAGCTCCATCGGGAACTTCTACTAAGTCCCATACGTCGTTTGAGCCCATAGATTTCAACTCGTCTTCCATGGCAACCAACCATTTGGACGAATTTTCGCTTTTAATGGCTTCCTTATATGAGGTTGGATCCTCCACCTTTCCCATATCATTCATGTCCTCCATCAAAAAAGTGATATAATCATCTGATATGGCTTTCTTCCTCTCACGCCGTGGTCTACCCATGGGCGGAGGTGGTGGTGGAACATCATCATTTTCATTATTTTCTCGGAGATCCTCATTTGTGTTTGGATTCTCATTATTAGTTTCTGGATCACCATTTGACTGAGAGACTGAACCGTGAGATTCAGGATCATCAGATGTCACATTTCTTCGTATTGGAAAAACAATCTCTTGGATAGTCGGGGATGGTACACAAACCCGCTTCTCCTCAAGATTGATCTCCCTTAAATTTGTGACCTCATTGTCCTCAAAAAATACCGCTTGTCTAGTCTCCACAAACTTGGTGGTGTGTCTTGGACAATAAAAACGATATCCCTTTCCCCTATGAGGGTATCCAACGAAGAAACAGCTAACTGTTTTTGGATCCAGTTTCTTAAGTTGTGGATTGAAAACTTTAGCTTCAGCAGGGCAACCCCACACCCGTAAGTAATTCAAGCTCGGTTTCTTTCCCGCCCACATCTCGTAAGGTGTGTTCGGTGCTGACTTAGTTGGAGCAAGATTTAGTATATGTGCAGATGTCTTTAATGCCTCTATCCAAAGGCTTACTGGTAAACTAGAGTGACTAAGCATGCTTGACTAAGCATGCTTCGCACCATATCCATAAGGGTGCGGTTGCGGCGCTCGGCCACACCATTTTGTTGTGGTTCACCAGGCATTGAGTACTGAGCAATGATTCCATTTGCAGATAAGAACTTGGCAAAAGGTCCAGGAATCTGCCCATAAGGAGCATGCCTACCATAATACTCTCCCCCGCGATCAGACCGTACAACTTTGATTTTTGCGTTCAGTTGATTTTCAACCTCCGCTTTATAGACTTTGAATTTATCCAAAGCTTCCGATCGGTCACGTATGGGATAAATATATCCATAGCGGGAAAAATCGTCTGTGAATGTAATGAATGAATCAAAACCATCTACAGACTTAACATTAAGGGGTCCACATATGTCGGTGTGAATT